ATTAAATAAAGTTTCGAAGCAGTTAGATGTCCGCTGGAGTATACATACTATAATGCACAAATAGATTTGCATCTCACGCATCCATCAGTAAGAATAATTTAATATTAAAATTAAAACAATAAATATATTAAATAAGTTTTGAATTAAATTAATAAGAGCTAAATAATAAAATAAATTAATAAAAAGTAATTAAAAAATTGCCATAGCATAACAATACACTTGTTACTGAAGAGAATGCAATAACGACGCGCATGGAATTTATATTATACACATATCTATGCTATAGCTTAATTTCTCATTAACCTAAATATGCCGATAAACAATGTGCGTTACAATATGCTTTACATAAACAATTATATTGGTTATAGTATGATCTCTCTTGCTTGTCATATTTGTTACTTCACATAAGATGTATTAAAAATTGAGTTATTATGGCTTATTATTAAATTTTTTTGTCATAAATTCTATACAATCTTGTTTCATAGTTAAATAAATTTTATAGTTAACTAAATAAAATAAGTAAAAAAATAATTATTACAAGTATTAAAAATTAATTATTGATATAAGCGGAAAAGTTCATTTTTTTCAAAATTTTATTTTTTTCATATTTTTATTTTTCTTGTGTAAAATTACTAAAATTTAATATGTGCGATATGATCTGTGAAATAAATTATTTTTAAATTTATTGAAATTTTCTTTTTAGTTAGCTATTACTAACTGAAAAAGTTAAAAAAAATATGCAATTTAATTTTACTTTTATATTTACATATTCTTTTTATGTTAAACTACATTGTTCTTCATATCTAACTTTCTTCTAACAGTATATTCTCTTGTCGTTGTTCCGGTTTAGATTTCTTCGTCACGTGGTCGGTTGATCGTCGCAGTATCCGAGACGTAGTCGACATCGTAAAGTTGTTTCGTGCCTACGAGTCGCACGCCTACTACCAAATGCAAAATCCATTTCCGTCTAACCAGGAAACTTTTAACAAGCCGCATTCAAAGTATGTGTGTTCCATGTTAAAGTTATCCGGTACACCGACAAGTACATACATCACACGAAGGTGGAACGCGAGGGTCGCGAACGATAATTACTTCGTGCCGAGGCTCGCGATTTAGGGAAATTGTATTTACAATCTTAGCGATTTTAAAGGAAATTCGACTTAATGAGACGGCATTAATCATCATTCATCATGGACAAGTCGGGAAATATTATTTTCTTGTTTTACATGCATCATTTTACTTGTACTTTTATTTCATATAAATTTTAATTTAACAAACTATAGAGAATGAAAGAAAAAGAAATATGAAAGAATAGAGAATATATTTAAAAAGAAATATGTATTTCTAATGAAGACTGGGGCAAATTCACTTTTGCCCGACGACATGTGTATGTGTAAGAGAAAATCCACGCTATCTCATGTGCCACACAGTTGCTACAAGTTCGTTTTAACCATGTCGCATATTGTTCTCGTCGCGGCGAGCATATTTGAACATATCTCGTTGATGAAGTACAGCGACCGATGCCAATGGTTAGTCTATGTGCAAGTGGGTCAGTTCCAACATCTTGAAGACATTTAAACTTAGTCCCGATTAACTCCCCCTAGGATTCTCATAGTGTCTACTGTATGTTGAGTATGGTTTCTGCGGATAGGTAGAAACTTTAGCTAGGACTGATATGCAGAGATACATGGGAGCGCATCGTCGCGATCTCTTGAACTGATTGCAAACTAATATTCCGTTAAACTTGCTGCGAATTATAACAGCGAAATTAATGATAATATTACCGTATGGATAATATTACCGTCTAATAATCAAACGCTTGAAATAAAGCAAGTGTATTTTTTTTACTTTCTTCTTATTTTATTATTAATTATAATATAAGCATTATTAATTTTATAATGTTAATTAAACGTGAAAAATTGTGACTTTAGACAAATGAAGACAAAAAAGAAAATAAAACGAACTGTCGAAGACAGACTTATTGGTATTTGATGTGAATCTGCAAGCACTTTGCCGTGATTTAAATGCTATGTTTACGTCATGTACAAACATCTAATATTCAATAAAAGATATTGCATTCTAAAAAAATCCATCTAATGATATTATTTGATGATATTATCGCTTCTACTATTAATTACATTTTTATAAGTGTATAAATAAGGTATAAACTTCTCATTGCTATAAATTAATCAATAAGGATTAATAAAATTAATCCAATAGGATTAAGAACTTCCTATAGATCAAGAGTCATGGACATAAAAAGATAGAATTCCACGCAATTTTCTACAATATATATCAGATCAGATATCATAAAAGGAGAGAAAAGGAAAAGAACGATATACTATACTCTTTTATTTACAATAAACAGATATAGTTTGATATACACAGATCAGGAAATCAACGCGTGACTCAATGTTAATATTTTCATTTAATATATTTAGGATAGTATATAAGTAATAAATGAACGAATACTTGTCAAGATGGCGCTATAAATGTTTTTGTATTATAGCAACGTGTAATAGTAGTCTTTCTAATCAAAGAGAGAAGAGTGGTAAAAGATAAGATTGGTAAAATTGTTTTGTAAAAGTATAGGAAATATAAGTGACAAAAATTTCTAAAAATATTAAAGAGAATTAAAGAGAAATACATGTCATTTAGAATTGCTTTTAATTTACAACTGTTTCCAGTGTTATATAAATAATAAAATCAGAAAAGTAAGCATAATTCGATAAAACATTAACTTTGATAAAGCTATTAATTTTTTATGTTCAATTAAATAAATTGTCAATCAATCTTTTAATTGGCTTGTCAAACATCCACTCCAGTTGTGTCACTCCAGTTTTCCTAGATATCTAAAAAAGAATATAATCTTAAGTATTTTTCTTCGTGACTTTTAATGTATAAATTACGACAGATAAATTTTGTGATCAGTAAATTTGATTAATTTGATTATAAAATTTTAAACCTTTCCTTTCAAACTTATGTAATTCATTAATCCATAATTAATAATATTATATAGTTAGTTTTCAGGAGATATTTTTAGTTATAATTTTCATTAATTTTCATTATCTTTTGAATCAAGCTTTATAAAATTATAGTGAAAAATTGATAATGATCAAATATTGATAATGATAAATAAATAGTGCGATAAATGTAAATAGTTTAAAACAAATACAAATATTTGATTTTAATTCTACATACTACTGATGCAAATTTGATTTTAATTCTATACACTACTATTTAAAAGTCATCTATAATTAGAAATTTGTAAAAGGAAATATTGATAGATATCTCTTTTTACTTTTTATTTATAACAGACTGTTCATGTGCAATTCTGAAAAATAACTATTCGACATTACATATAAACACGTTTATGATTTTAAAGTAATTTTAACATTTATTTTCTTTCAGTTCTATTTATTAACTCGTAGATTATTTTTATTTTGATTCAACTATTAATTTGTTCAAAATAATGGAAAATATTTTATTTATAAGAATAATTTTAGATAAAATATTTAAAATTCACTGATATAATAACATGGTTTAATAATATTATCAAGTAATTAACCAATAATTAGCTACGAAATAAATGAGTTAACATATTTTCTAGATGTGTGTGTATATTCGGAAAGATATAAAAAATTCTAACATGAAATTAAGTTACTTGAAGCTTCTATAGTTACCATAATATGTTCCACTATTTATTTTATAATTTTAATATGATGTCTACTATCTTTAATCTCTTATCTCTCTTATTTTATTTTTCGAGAAAAATCTTTTTCTTATCTTATATATTATAATCGGCATACAAAACAATAATTTTGAATTTTGTGTATCAAGATGTGAGATAGATTTGATTAATATAGTTAATTTAGCATAAATTTTTATTATATTTCTTAGTACGAGGGTATAAAAATTTGAAGATTTCTCTCGAAGTTATAACTATAATGATTAACATGTTTTTATTGGAGTTGCATCAGTAGCCTTTAAAAAAAATTGTTCCATTTTATGGCGATGAAATAAAGCGAGATTTCACTTTCTTATGATCGAAAGGAAAGCAATCCAAGCGGTTAGATAAAGAAATTAGTGTGATAGATAAATGAAGATGGACGAAAAATAAAAGAAACGAATCTCCACAGTTTTGGTCCATCGAATTTGCGAGTTTCTCATTTGCCACGATGTATAAAATACATATACGCAATACATATACCATTGTTTTAAAATTAATTCCACTTTCCGCTCAAATTCACCCAAGACTTAAAATCACGTAACAATAAAAAAAATAACTTTTTATTTTTTAATTGATATAATTTAAATACGATATAATTTAAAAGATCATTTAATGCTTAGAAAATTTTTGCATCAAAATTCTGCTGTCGTATAGCTAACAAGTTTGCTAATAAGCTGTAGGCTATTAGATAACGATGTTATATCTAATGAAAATGATTTAGCATAAGCAAGGCTAATATATACAATTTTTTAATATGCATGTTCCTAAATTTAAATGCAAACCTGATTACTTGTAGTTTAATCGTAGGACTTATTCGTAATCTCATGTTAAACAATATTCATTTTGATAATCATATATTCTGAATATATTCTAAAATTTTACATACATTTGTAAAATTTAGATAATTTTATCACGAAGATGGAGGTTACGAAACACATGCTTGCTATATAATCATCTCTCGAGCGGAAATATAAAAACTAAATTATAATTTGCTATTGCAATAAATATCTGTTATCTGTATAACCCATTTCGTTTTTTATCGAGAATGAAATATACATAGTTATTCATTATATAAAAAAAGAAAACACATATATATATATATATATATATATATATATATATATATAATATGATTATCATTGCTTTGGCAATATATTGCGCAAAGCAGTCTGAATATTATCAGAAATACATATATATAATACATATATAAAATATAGAAAAATACATATATATATATATATATATATATATAAAATTAAATTTTGTTATATTTATCAAGAAAAAAATGGGATCAACTGCCAAAATAATATTTTGTATGATGTGTTCTTCGTGCATTATTACGTCACTCTTGGAAGCTGCAAGAATCTTAGCAATAATTTCGATACCATCCTATAGTCATCAAATTGGCTATCAACCATTATGGACTGCCCTAAGCCGACGAGGACACAAAGTTGTTGTTCTAACAACGAATCCAGTTAATGAGCCTAACATCACAAATTTAACAGAAGTCGATTTTCATTACAACTATAGACTATTGAAAGATCTAAATCACGTAAAAATGATGGAGCATGATACATGGATAAATGTAGAACGTAATTTGCTGTTTAATGTAGGCAATGAATTGACAGAGGATATTTATAAACATCCAGAAGTACGTAAAATGTATGCACCAGATAGTGATCAAAAATTTGATGCAGTAATTATAGAAGTTATTAAAACACCTGGTCTCTATGCATTGGCACACAGATTTAATGCACCTCTTATAGGTAAGTTTAGTAAAAAAATTATATAATATATATATATATACTATTAATCATTTTCATCTTTAGCTGCCGATTATTTGGAATTTATTTAAATTAAATTTTTTTTAACAAAAATATTAAGAAAGTTCATAAATCAATAAAATTTTACAATATTCATTTTTTTAATACAATATATCTCTATTATCAATTTTACTTAAGTAATGTAAATATTTATTCTTAATGTTTTCGTCTTTATTATGAATTATCCTGAATTCGTAAATAATTAGCTTAATTACCTTTATATATCATGGATATAAGCGATGTATATTATTTTGCACAGACTTTTAGATTTAGAAATTCTTTTTTAATTTTAACAATTATTTACATAACGCATTGCATGAATTTATTTAGGTATATCATCAGTAGGATTGTACAGTCATATTTATTATCTTCTTGGTGCACCCGTTTTGCCATCACATCCTTCAAATTGGGAAATGAAAGAAGTTACCGGTTTTAATCTATCATTGTGGCAGCGGTTAAAAAATGTTATTGAACAGTGGTATCACATATATTGCGTGTTGAATCATTTCTTTCCTCAACAGCAAGCAATAGCAGAAAAATATCTCGGAAAGAATATACCAAACATAGTTGACATGGAGAGAAACATTAGTATTATATTTCATCATCAACAAGAAGCTCTCTCCTTTATAAGACCGAAAACACCTAATGTTATAGTATTTGGTAATTCCCATGTTTCAAAAAATACTTCAGCTTTACCGAAAGTAATCATTACCTTCAACAGATATTCAATTTTTATTATTTAATTACAATCATTATTTAATATATATATGTTAGAAATTATTATTTATATATTATTATTTATATATTTAATTTAGTTTTATATCTAATATCTATTACTCTCTCTTTTAGTACATATTATTTTTTCTAAAATATAAAAAATATAATATTATTGATAATTTTACTTTATTTTAGAACTTGAATAAATTTCTGGTAGATGCACCAAATGGATTTATTTACATGAGTCTGGGTACTAATGCTCATATGTCACATTTTTCCAAGCATGTGTTAAAGGCATTTTGTGATATTTTTGCAAGTTTGTCAACAAAAGTTGTGTGGAAATTAGATGAAGAATTGACGAATAAATCAGACAATATTTATACTGCTAAATGGCTTCCTCAACAGAGCCTCCTTGGTAAATCTATGACAAAAAATGTCATAATTAAAAATTAAAGAAATTAATCGAAATATATTCTCTCACTTATATATGAAATCATGAGTCAATTTTGTATGTTCTTTTCGTTTTTAGCTCACCCAAAAATTAGATTGTTTATATATCAAGGTGGACTTCAAAGCACGGAAGAAGCTGTTTATAACGCTGTACCACTTATAGGATTACCAATTCTGGCAGACCAATATACGAATGTTAATAAAATGGTATCTCTCGGAGTTGCAAAATATCTAAATTATCGAAATATTTCAACAGAAATTGTAAATTCATCCATAACAGATCTCTTAAACGATAAGAGGTAATATCCTATGCGCACAGTTTTTTATACAATATATTCATAGAAATGCAATTATTGTCCAGCCCTAACATCTAAACCTTTACAGAATTAGAGTCAAAATTTAATTGTAGAATAATGTATTTATGTATTATATATTTATGTATTATATATGTACTTTTTTAAAAGACACTACAATTTTTTTAGATATAAAGAAAGAATGCTTAAACTTAAAGCAATAAATGAAGATAAACCTTTCAATTTATTGGAAAATGCGATTTGGTGGATCGAATTTGTAATTCGTCATAAGGGCGCTTCTCATCTTCGTAGCAGTATTGCATATAATCCTTGGTATCGAAAATATGATATGGACATTATAGCAATTTTATCAATTATCACATTTATAATATTATTGTGCACATTATTAATAATCTATAAATCGTTAAAATCAATATTTAGTCGTCATACAAGTAAACAATTTATGAACATTACAAAAAAAATTAATTGATTTTTTTTACATTTTTTATACATAATTATATTTTGTACATATAATCCCATTTTCTTATAAAGAAGTTGAAAAATATCAAAAGGTTCTAACATCTATTCATGTTTCAAACGTATTTATTTATTTGAGAAATTTAAAATTATATTTTATTATAATGCAAATATAATCAGAAATAATATATTCGAAAAATTTCAAAATCTTAATTATTTAAGCCTTCATTATTTAACTAAAAATAAAGTAATGAAAAAATAAACATATCCAAAGAAAGATTTTGTTGGCATTTACAAAACAACCTAGTTATTTTAGTTATTCTTCACATACTCTGTGCTATGCATCATAGTGACACTGTCATTATGAGCAACTTAATTATCAGCTATTTTTTTTATATTCACTTTGTCATATTTTCAGTTGTTATTTTTTTTGTTTAAGTTGCGAAGATAGTTTACGCTCTAGATTGCGCGCGTTATCGTCGGTAATATGACGAATCATAATCATCCTATCACGAATGGCTCGTGAGCTCCGCGCCTGAAACTTCTCCTTTTTATCTTTCATACTTTTCATACTTATATTCTATATATTTCATCATATCATATTTTTACTTTTCTCATGTTATTATTACGTTCTCTCTATGTGTGTGTCGATTATTAGCGTGGCTCACATTCCGGTCATTATAAACGAAATAATAAAATAATTATATCAAAGTTCATTGTTCACGTTGGATCTGTTTTATCAATCACAAAACCACATATATATAGTACATAGTATCTAAATATAAGAGACAAAAATTTCTTAAGTTATTAATGGAAGAGGAATACATGTTATTGAGAATTGATTTTTTCTAGAACAATTGTTATTCCGGTGCTATATAAATAATAAAGCGAGGTAAGCATACTTCGGTAAAACATTAACTTTTATATAGTTATTAATTTTTTACATTCAGCTGAAGAAATAGTCATATAATTCTTTAATTAACTTGCCGAACATCTTGCCAAACAACTTTTGATATGTCACGCGAGTTTTCTTAGATATCTAGCAATAAAAAATATAATCTTAGGCATTTTTCTTTGTGACTTTGAATGTATAAATTATACGGCAGACAAATCTTTTTTATGATCAGTTTTTTGCTTAAATTAATTTGATTATAAAACTTTGTATCTTTTCTTTCGAAAAAACATTACATAATTCACTATAGTATATGTTAGTTTTCAGGTAATATTTCTAGTCACAATTTTCATTAATTTTTATTATCTTTTAAATGAAATTTTTTATAAAATTATATAAATTTGATAGATAATGCAGTAAATGTTAATACTTAAAAAAAATAGAAATTTGATTCTATGTACTATTATTTAAAAGTTACCTATAATTAGGAATTTATAAAAGGAAATAATATTGTTTATAACAGATTGTTTGTGTGCGATGTTCTTGAAAATAACTATTCAATCATTACATATAAACACGTTTATGACTTTAAATCTTAACATTTATTTTCTCTTGGTTCTATTTGTTAACTCGCAGATTATTTTTACTTTGATTCAACCATTATTTTGATCGATATAATGGAAAATATTTCATTTGTAAGAATAATTTTAGACAAAATATTTAAAATTCTCTGATAAAATAACATGATTTAATAATATTATCAAGTAATTAATCAATAATTAGCTACGAAATAAATGAGTTAGCATCTTTTCCAGATGTACTCGGGAGAGATATTAAAAATTCTAATATTAAATTAATTTACTCAAACTTATGCATGGTTACTATAGTATGCCTCTCTATTTGTCTTAATTTTGATATAGGTGTTTTTTACCTCTAACTTATCTCTTTTATCTCATTTTTCGAGAAAAATGTAATAAATTTTTTATCACCCTATCATAATCGACTGTATAAAACAACAATTTTGAATTCTGTGTCATCAAGAATTCTGTGTCATCAAGAAATAAGATAGACTTGATTAATATACTTAATTTAGCATAAATTTTTATTATCTTGGTATGTAGGTATATAAATTTGAACGTTTCTCTCAAAGTCATAATTATGATATGTTGATTAACATATTTTTACTGCAGTTGCATCAATAGTCTTTAAAAACAATAGTCTTTAAAAACAATTGTTCCGTATTATTGCGATAGTCTGAAGCAAGATTTCACTTTCTTGCGGTCGAAAGAAAAACAGTCTACGCGGTCAAGTAGAGAAATAGTGTGACAGATGAAGATAACGAGAAATAAAAGAAACGAATTTCCACAGTTTCGGTCCATCGATTTTGCGAGTTTTTCATTTGCCACGATCTATAAGATACACAACACATATATTATTATTGTTTTCAAATCAATTTCACTTGCCGATCAAATTCATCTATGGTTTTAAGTCACGTAACAATAGCAAGAATATGTTTTTTTTTATTTTTGAGTGATATATAATTTATAATACGTAAGGACATTTAATGCTTAGAAAATTTTTGCATCAAATTTCTGCTGTCGTATAGCCGACAAGTTTGTTAAAACTGTAAACCATTAAATAATATTATTATGTCTAGTGAAAATTCTTTCGTATAAGCAATGCTAATATATAAAGTATTTTATGTATAAAGTTTTTAATATGTCCTACATTTTTAAATGCCAAATTAATTACTTGCATCTTAATCGCATGTAATCTCATGTTACATAATGTTCGCTTTGATAATCGAATATTTTGAATATATTTTATAAAATTTTACATATATTTGTAAAATTTAAATATATTTTATCACATAGATGTAAATCACAAATCATATACTTGCTATTACAAACTGATATGCAAATTTATAAAAAAACTTCGCGTTATCCATTATTTCGAATATCAAAAAGGAAATTAATTTGAAACAAATGCATTATCTATAGACCCATATGTTAAATATTCTGATAATATCCAGACATGTTTGAGCAGCTCTTGTCAAAGCAATGATAATATCTTCCAATCATATCTTATATGTACATGTCATTATTTATTATAAAATAAATAAGCATGTATACTTTATTCTCGATAAAATACGAAATAGGTTATAAATAACAACAGACATTTATTACAATAGTAAGTCAATAGTTTTTACATTTCAATGGTTATATGATTCGATAGTTATTATATGTAAAATTATATTTTATTATGTTTTGTTGTCAATAAAAAATGGGACCAATTACCAAAATGATATTTTGTATGATATGTTTTCCGTGCATTATCACGCCGTTCTTGGAAGCTGCAAGAATCTTAACAATAATTCCGTTACCATCCTACAGTCACCAGGTTAGCTTTCGATCATTGTGGACTGCTCTAAGCCGACGAGGACACAAATTTGTTGTTCTAACAACGGATCCAGTTAATGATCCTAACATCACAAATTTAACAGAAGTCGATTTCCATTACAACTATAGATTATTGAAAGATCTAAATCACGTAAAAATGATGGAGCATGATACATGGATAAATGTAGAACGTAATTTTCTGTTTAATATAGGCAATGAATTGACAGAGGATATTTATAAACATCCAGAAGTACGTAAAATGTATGCACCAGATAGTGATCAAAAATTTGATGCAGTTATAGAAGTTTTTAAAACACCTGGTCTCTATGCGTTGGCACACAGATTTAATGCACCTCTTATAGGTAAGTTTAGTAAAAAAATTATATAATATATATATATACTATTAATCATTTTCATCTTTAGCTGCCGATTATTTGGAATTTATTTAAATTAAATTTTTTTTAACAAAAATATTAAGAAAGTTCATAAATCAATAAAATTTTACAATATTCATTTTTTTAATACAATATATCTCTATTATCAATTTTACTTAATTAATGTAAATATTTATTCTTAATTTTTTCGTCTTTATTATGAATTATCCTGAATTCGTAAATAATTAGCTTAATTACCTTTATATATCATGGATATAAGCGATGTGTATTATTTCGCACAGATTTTTAGATTTAGAAATTCTTTTTCAATTTTAACAATCATTTACATAACGCATTGCATGAATTTATTTAGGTACATCATCACTAGGATTGTATAGTCATATTTATTATCTTCTTGGTGGTATTATCTTCTTGGTGCTTCTTGGTTCCCGTTTTGCCATCACATCCTTCAAATTGGGAAATGAAAGAAGTTACCGGTTTTAATCTATCATTGTGGCAGCGATTAAAAAATTTTATTGAACAGTGGTATCACATATATTGCGTGTTGAATCATTTTTTTCCTCAACAGCAAGCAATAGCAGAAAAATATCTCGGAAAGAATATACCAAACATAATTGACATGGAGAGAAACATTAGTATTATACTTCATCATCAACAAGAAGCTCTCTCCTTTATAAGATCGAAAACACCTAATGTTATAGTATTTGGAAATTCCCATGTTTCAAAAAATACTCCAACTTTACCGAAAGTAATCATTACCTTCAACAGATATTCAATTTTTATTATTGGAATTACAATCATTATTTAATATATATATATATATATATATATATATATATATATATAT